GAATTAAGCACGCAGGCTCCAAAACCTGATTACTTAGTCAGGTACCTTGGTTCTTCTACATACTAGCTGGGTGGCCTTGGGCAAGTTATTTAATCTTTCATATTTAAGTTTTATTACCTGCAAAAATGAGATGATAATATTATCTACCTCTAAGAATTATAGTATGGATTAAATAAGTTAAACATGTAAATTTAAAAATAATACCTGGTACATATTAAAACTTCAACAAGTGTTATTAATCTCATTGGCAAGGGCCAAAATAATTACAAGAGTTTAACCTAACTACTTTTCTGAATCTTTTTTAAAAAAACATACTAACCATTTTTTAAAAATGTAGTATTATTTACCATTCAACCTGTCATTACTACATTTCACTTAATAATGCATTCTCAGAATACTGACTTTTTTTTTGATAGTTAGTTAATTCAGATATTACTAAATTAGGCCTCAGATTCAAAATTTAACATCTCTTATTTATCTCTATACAAATACTTCCTATTTTAAAGAAATTCAACATCTTTCTTTCCTATTTTTTTTGTATCTTTCCCTCCTACTACAAAAATTTGAGTGTATCCACTAAATTGCTTAAAAAAACAAGGTAAAATTTTTTTAATTTTCAAAAAAAACTCCATAATATTGGTAATCTGATCATTTGAAAATCTGGGATTTCAAAAATAAACCTCACTGATTATTAATTACATGATTTAAAAAATGTAGGTTGGGAAATACTTGAATAACAAACTTAGTACTTAGAATGTAGGGTTCTTTAAACAGCAAACAAGTCCTAAGGAGTACATCCAAGACCTTTTGCGCTCCTCCCCAGCCTTTGATCCACAAACTAGGAACATTTATACCATTGTTTCTTTTTTCTCAATCGTTCCATCACCATCTTTGCTTTAATGGCTACTACTCTGACAAAACTCAGTTATTACGTCATCCTAGACGACACATTCAAATTTGTCAACATTCAACTTTTTACAGCAGTCAAAAGAACAACAAAAAAGTCTGTATTTCCAAATTGTATTTCATGTCATATAATGGAAGTTTCAATTTAGTAGCGATGCTAGAGTTAATACATTTAAATAGCTGTTATCCCCTTTAAAGTAGAAGTTTGGGAAGTTACATCTTGATTTCACTAGTGATAACCGCTGAAATATTTTTAAATTTCTCTTTTGAAACTATCTTCAGGACCTGTTTTTTATATCATTAATGGAAGAAAATTTCTGATTCTTAAGAGTAAACTTAATAAATATAGTATAAATATAATATTTAGGTAAATATAAGAATACTTATAATGTTAAGGATAATCACAGCTCCCTATGAATTATTATAACTGTAAAAAATTATTGCATTAATATTTTATTATTTCAATAATGATGATATATTTACTTAAACAGGCAAAAAAAGTCAAATAATAGCGATCAGTCTGTTAAAACATGTGTACATGAAGTTGGGGATTACAGGGGTTATTAATTTTCTATTTTGCTTATACACACATATTCCTTAAATACTCTCCTGAGTATTGTGTTTATATATGGTGAATTTTTATTTTTTGATATCATATTTTTCATATCTTGAAGTTCCACTGTTTTTATATCTTCTATTTCTCTCTTCACCATGTTCAGATTTTTCTCTACTATTGAATATACAAAGCACACTGATAATATGGAATCTAATGTCCTAATCAGTTAATTTCATCATCTTTCCCATTTCTGGGCCTGTTTCTGATGATTGACTTTTCTACTAGCTAGAGCTCATTTTTTCTTTTTTTTTTTTTGCATGTCCGATCATTTGTTAAACTAGATGTTAGTCAGTTTTAATTTTACATTATTATTAGGACCTTTAGAAAGTGTTGGATTTTATTTCGGCTAGTACTAAAGCAAGTTAAAACCAGTTGGGTCCTTTTAACTCTTGCATTAAGCTTTGTCAGGGTAAATCTAGAGGAACTTTAATTTAAAGCTTTTTTAGCCTCATTACTAAGATAACACCCTTCGAAGGATTACCCAATATCTCACATGAGATGAGATCCGTTCACTTTGGCTAGAGAGAGCACAAATTATTTCTAAACCCTGCGTGAGATTCAGGGATGTTTTTTAGTTTTAGTTTTTTGTTTGTTTGTTTGTTTGTTTGTTTTATTGCTGCTTTCTATTAGTTATTTCCCTGGCCTTAGGTATTTTTTATTTAACTTATTGTCTTCATATTACTATTTATCTCTCCTCCTGAAAATTATATAATTTTGAACACAGGAGCGGCAATTATGGAAAATATAGAAATGTGAATTTCCATAGTACCACAAATAAAATAAAATTCTTTATTACTCTTCTGGTTTTGAAGTATAATATCAGTCCCAATATATAAACATTTCTACTTTTTTCTACCCAAATTATAGACCATCATTTGTGAATAGTCTTAAGAATTTATTGGTGGTTGGCTAGTACAATCAGGTATCTTCTCTGCCTCCCATAATTAAAACCTACCATTTAGTCTTCTCAATGGCACTGCCTACTTATGTCTACATGTGACGCCATCACTTAGTGTTTGGTGAACTAACAGAGGTGTTTAATATAATATTCAAAAAGAGACTCAGTGAGTCTTCTGGATTTAAACAGAGTCAAAAATCTCAGAGCTTCCAAAAGACCAACAAAAAGCATAAACTAAAAACAACAGATTACAAAATGCTTGAGAGATTAACAATGGTACATGAAATAAATAGATGGAAGATAATAGTTGAGGATGAAAGAGCAGTGGAAAAAATAATAAACACACATCATGCTTTACCAATGAGCTTCTAGGCATTGGTATACCACAGACAGACCTAGGAGGTTTTATTTTTGAAACTCCTAACAAAAACCTAGGTATATTGAAAATAGTATGTATTTGTGAATGGACATTTAGAGTGGAAAATTTTACACGTGTATGTAATATATAACATACATTCACATAATATTTATATAAAATAAACATACACTCATTGGCAAAGAATGGTATATATTATTTTCTTAGTGGTAGGAGAAAAGGGACAAAAAATTCCTTCCCTATCACACAGATGAAAAGTACTTTATTGTTCATTATTAAGAATTGCTACGCTTCATTTAACCAATGGATCACTCATCCCAATATCTTGTCACTATCCCAAGCGATGTTTTCTGGGTACTATAGCCTCTAACCACCAAAGGTGACCCTAAACTTCCTATAATAATTCCATATAGTGCTATCACTTATCAGTTGATCTCTTATCAGTTCATCTCGGATCTATTTTTGCTTTAATTTCGCATCATTTCTAAGCATAACGAATCCAGTAATTTGTTCTTGATCAGCTTTGAGTATTTTGGAATTTGTCGATCAAATCTATTAATCATATTAATAAATTTTACAATTTTAGAGACATTGGTCATTTTCAGCTGCCTAAATCAGCTAGTCTTTCTGTTCTAATTTATTCTCTTAAGGAAAAAATAACATGGATTTGAAATCCTGTGGGTTCTAACTATTCTGAGTGTCATATAAATTATTCCTTGGTAGAAAAGAGCAGATATAAGAGAGCTATAAGAGAAAAAGTTGATTGAGCTAATTTTAATTCTTAGTGACTGTGCATGAGACAATTTAGTTGAAGGGGGACTTGAAGGTGGCCGGAAAATAAAGTGATATTTATTGCATCTAGTCAAAAGGGCTGTCAGTTAAACTCTTCTTATGTCTGCAACCATCAAGGATGAGGTTACCTGTCATTGAGCATTATCCCCAAGTGAACAAGTTCACCCTTCAGTGGAGAGACTCAAAAACTGAGTTTCCTTCCTTCAATAGGACGTCTTACAAGTCAAGAATGTAAGGTCTAAAGCCCCAGGGGAAAACCTCAGAAGCTCAATAAGCAGCAGGAAAGGCAAACCCTGAAGCTTAAAATCCTGTGTGTTTACCACTAAGTATCAAGTCCGCAACAGAAGATGTGGAATCAAATAATACTATAGCTGCAAATAACCATCACTCATGTTTATACTGCAAAGCGATCTGCCCCTTTTTAAGGCCTGAATCCAGAAATCCACTCTGCCCCATTGTAATCCTTTTCTATTTTCCCTTGGTGGAAATTTCCTGTTTCTCTTTGAGAAAGATAATTCGATCCTGTTTTCATTTCTCTTCCTCCCAGAAGGCTGCTGTAGAAAACACACACACACACACACACACACACACACACACGTGGATTTATAAAAATTTCTTTTCACAGTCGCTCCTGCCCAGTTCCGAAACTCACAACCCTTACGACTGATGGTGTATCCGAACGAGTCCTTGGTCTGACAAAGCAGCCTCTATCCCACATCTCCCTCTCCACCCACGACAACCTCTGACTTCTCCACCTTAGACAGAAAATGTTTTCTTTGACTGCCTAATAGACTCGGCAATCCTATCGACCTGTTATAAAAAAGAAAACTAGCAGCCTAGACTAGGTCTTGAGCGCCACGGCCGGTCTCCGTGGGCAAAGCCCTAGGGAAGGAACCGATACCCAGTCGCGAATCCTCAGAGCCCAGGAGGCATTGGCCCAGCCTTTGCCATTGGTCCCAATTTCCTCTGCCCAGAGTCTTCTCCGGCTTTCCACCAAGCCACACAAGTGACTTCTCGGAAACGTTAGCAGATTCTGCTGAGGAGGAAGGGAGGAAGGGGTGATGGGGGCGGGGGTGAGGTAAGGGAAGGGTTCTTCTGGCTGCTGAACACACACACACGTGCACGCGCGCGCGCACACACACACACACACACACACACGCCCCACCCAATGGGGTAGCCATAGCTGAGGTCGCGAACCCTCCTCTGCCTTCTATTTAGCACACAGTGGAGAGGCTGCAGCAGCACCGCCACCGCGCCGCAAGTTCGGTCCGCGCCCTGCCTTGCTGGCGGGAGCGGACGGCTGGGAAGCCCGGAGGGCGCGGACGGGGAGGGGCGGGAGGAGTGGAAGGAGAAGCTGCGGCGCCAGGGCCCGCGGAGGGGCGGGGCTGCCACCCGCCTGGGCGCGCCCCGCAAGGAGGGGCGCACTGTTGGAGACGGCCCTCGCCTGCGCTCCCACGGCGAGCGTCTGCTTTCCAATTCTTGGGCTCGGCTGTCCGGGGCTGGGCTATCTTGGGTACCAGCAGCTGGTTGTGGCTGCCACCCGCTGAGCAACAGGAGACTAAAGGAAGGGAGAAGCAGCTGCAGAGAGAACGCCCGGGGAGAGAGACTGGAGCGAGGAAGGGTCCCTTAAGCTCTTGCCCTTTCCCGGGGCCAGATTCTGCGGGTGCACTGGGTGGGCATGACCGGCGGGCAAGGTTGCAAGTAAGTGGCTTTTCTCTTGCTTCTCTGGTGTGGTGGGTAGGGAAGCCACCGTTCTCTCGCCAGCACTCGCCTCAACCGCCACACCCACCTGTATCCTTATTCGCATCCTTAGGCTTTGGCCACCCCGCGTTACGCCACCTGGAAAGTGGAGGGGAGGGAAGCTGAGTGGGTGGGTGAGTGGGGGGGGAGTGGTCAAAGCAATTGGGGCAAGAATAACTGGCTGGGGAGGCAGTTGTTTCCATTTCAAGGCCTTTCCTTTACGGCTGTACTTGATGGTGTGCTATTATTTCTTTCTGTCGATGTTAGCGGAGTTGTTGAATGGGTTTCAGTTTCAGGGGCAGGTCGCATTTTTTTTGCGAGAAAAAAAAAAAATCTTGTGTTATATTTCCTGTCTGCAAAGGTGAGCGTGCAGAAGAACCAGGAGCTGATCCTACCTGTGAGGACAGCGCAGAAGCGCCACACCCCTTCGGAGCACACAAACACAAATAATTGACAAGACTGTTTAGCCCCATTTCTAGACGCAGTTATATGTTTTTAAAACGAGTGTTTTTAGTGAAATTCAGATAAGATTCAGAATCATTGAACTTTTTATCGACTTCAACTGAAACTCATTTACTTTTAGAAAAAAGTAGGTACTTATTTATTTGTATTAAAGATAATTAAAAGACGAAAGTAAGATTACCAAACTAGAAAAATTAATGCCAACTTTGTGATTATAGCAAACATTTAACTTATTATTCTGGTTTCTTTTTTAAATTTCAATTGCAGCATTCGTAGCAATTTATATCTCCTCTGAAGCTAAGAGCAATTTTTATGTGAGAGACGCTTAGGGGAGTTTTTAAAAAGCTCACTTCAATAAGATAAAGAACAAATCCACATGAGCTTTTAAAAGAATGATGGATTTCCAATTGCTGAGTTGTCAATGTTGGGAGGTTCAGTTCTTT